GTAAATGTCACTAAATTGGGACAACAACTAGGAAAATGAGAGTAAATCTTTGTAATCACAGAGAGAAAAGAGCAAGCATAGATAAGTGTTAGTTCAAATATTGAATGGTGCCATCTAGAGGAAAATTTATTCTGACTCACCTTTCTGGATTAGAATTTCCCAAATTTCAGTGCTCACAAATTTGGAACCTATGGAACTTTGCTAAAATACGTAGTCTGGTTCCTCCTTTGCCTGGAGGTTTCTAACTCACTTTATGACATGGTCCAGAAACTGTGGTTTTGATAATATCCATACTGGAAAGTACAAAAATTCCACTTCGGTTCAAAGGAAGGTATAGCAGAGGTACATTGTTCTTTCCCTTTTCATCACAATTTTCACAACTTCACCATAAGAAGCAATTTTGTTGCTGATAACATTCCTTTAACGGGTAGACTGGACCAGCCCCTGTGCTAATTCCTTTACTTGTAATTGTCCTTTTTAATCCACTCAAAAACTGTGAGGCAGCTGGGTGGGGAGGTATACCTCTCAGTGCTCAGGAAGCTGGGGCAGAAGGATTTCAAGTTTGAGGCCAGCTTTAGCAATTTAGCAAGGCCCTAAGCAACTCAGAGAGTTCTCAAAATGAAAAATAAAAAGGACTGTGGACCAGGCAGGGTGGTACACACCGTGATCCCAGTGGTTCAGGAGGCTGAGACAGGAGAATCATGAATTCAACGCCAACCTCAGCAAGGACAAGGGGCTAAACAAATCAGTGAGACCCTGTCTCTCAATAAAAAATACAAAATAGGTTTGGGGATGTAGCTCAGTGGCCTGAGTGTCCCTGAGTTCAATCCCCATCTTCCCCCAACCCCCCCACTCCTGCCTCAGGAAAAAAAAGGGGGGCTGTGGATGTAGCTCAGTGGTTAAGCACCCCTGTGTTTAATCCCTAATACCTGCACCCCCCTCACACACACACAAAATGAAACCAACAACAAAATAAAAAACTGTAAGATAGATATTATTATCCTATTTTATAAGTGAGAAGATAGAGGCAGTGGGTTTAAGTAACTTCCCCAAGATGATATAGCTAATACTGTAACTGAGCTCAGACCCATCAAGTGATTACACATGCCCATGTCTATGTGATGGAAAGTTCATAGTCATGCAAAAAGTATAAAAGAGACTGTTTCAGGCCCATGATTCTGTACTGTCACCTACATTCAGCTTGGTTTACTACATGCAGAAATCAGTCACCTTCCTTTATTATAAAGGGCTGTTTAGGGACATTTTGCTTTGACATTTTACACACAGTTTGGACTAATATAGTCATATACTCAACCAGTCCTTAAATATTGGTTGTTGCTTTTTAATATTATAAATTCAAGGATTTTTTTCAATATTTTGTTGGCACTCTCCATTCTTCCCCCAACTAAAACAAATTAAAGTAAAATGATCTGCCTCAAACCTATGTGGAGGTAAAGTGAAACTAATTTATTTATAACTGGTTAGAAAACCCAGGTGATAGGGATCTGTTGGTCAGGCCAGGAAAGCTAACTAAGATGGCCTTTAAGCCTGAGTGCTTGTCCCAGGGACAAGGGACCAAAGGCTGGGCCCACACAGTGCTGGCAGAAATAAGTTCTGCTTCACCACACCCTGCTGAAATATATCTTTCCTATAGTTTCCTACCTCCCCTGAGCCCAAGTATCAACTAACTTCAACCGAAAAATTAATTCTTGCTACTGCCCTCACAGGAAATAATGTAAAGGTACACTAGGAACTTTACAACAGTTCCTCTTCAGAATATTTCTGTAATGATTGTCCCCAGACTCTACTCCAATAGCATCTCTAATAACAGAAAGTTCTGATTGTGAAAGATTTCTTTGCAGAGGAGACAGGGCTTGGCAATGACAAAAATTCATTATCTCTTAAATATGTATTCACACAGAGAAGAGTTTCCTTTTCCATATCCTATAAGATATCTTAGCATTTGGATATCTTTTAAGCTTTAGAGATGAAGAGCATCAAATAATGTGGTGGGTTTTTAAAATAAGATGAACAAATAATATATTTTTCTCAGTTTATATTTGTATTGCTGAACGCAAAAGAAGTCTGAAAATATAAACTTGTATTTATATCTGTAAATCCTTTACTAAACTTTACTAACCTTAACCCCCAGGAACTCAATGCTGAAATGATAAAACCTAATAATCCAAAAAAGATTTAAGTGAATATTCAGCACAACAAAAGGAAAAAAAAATGGAATATACTAGTGTATTGAACTGGAAAGACTAGATGATATAAAAATAACAATGGGTAACATTGAGAATAAAATAGATAATATTAATTGGGCATTAATTTATGCTAAGAACCTTTCTAAATGCTGGTGCATGCACTATTACATTTAACCCCGTAATTATGAAGGAATTCACGAGGTGGGTACAATTATTAATCTTATTATACACATAAGAAAATTCAGCCATCTAGTTAAACTGTGGATATGGAACCAAGCTGACGGGCCTCACAGCCTACATTGTTGTGTTCTATACTACTGAATAAGAAAAGGTCAAACAGACACCAATTCCTTGGAGAGTCAGAGGCAAATTTGGTTCCTTGGGAAGTCAGAGGTAAATTTGGGATCCCAAATCTACTGACTGGGGCTGTGGGTGTAGTGCTAAATACACCTGGCCTAGGTTTTTTTTTTTTTTTTTTGTAGTTTTGTACACAGGAGGGCGCAGCACCAGAGTCCTCCAACCCAAGGCAGCGATCATAACCCTGAGAAAAGCAGTCGGGTCAAGTGCTCCCTCGGAACCAAAGTACCAGTGCCCGCGTGCTCCGGGGCAGCATTTTTCGGTGAACCAGAGGCGGGGCCCGGTCGACGGTGCTTGAGGAGACGGTGCGGAGAAAAGGGACGCTACTTGGCTGGCGTAGGGCGCAGGGAGGCGAGTTTGCCGGCGGCGGATCATGCTGAACGGAGTACGCTGCAGGCTCGCCTCGACGCTGTGGAGGACACGAGCGCCGCCATCCGCGGTCACTCGTAGGTGCCTCCGCGCGACAAGGTCGCTGTCCTTGGCAGATCGGAGCGAGAGGGCGAAAGAGCCGTCCATCACTTTCGATCAGGCACTGCTGGAATTCCTAGTGTGTCCTCTCTCCAAGAAGCCGCTCAGGTGCGACTCGCCAGCCCCGGGTTTACGTTGGCGGAAGGGATACGTGTGTGGGGGGGTGTTCCGGTCTGTCCCGTATCCGCTGTGGTTTCCCGGACGCTGGCCTGGCCGGGCTCCCTAGCACCTCAGCTGCGGCGCCCAGGGCGACAGTAGACCCGAGGGTAACCTCAGACATCCCGAGACCAGTCGCCGATCCGCGGAAGTGGGTCCTCGCGTTTTGAGGTTCGCTTTCTGTTTGGCAGCGCTTTCCAGTCAGCCGGGCCCTTTTTAAAATTGCCGATTCCCAGACAGGACCCCATCCCCGCCTGCTCCGCGGGCTTACTGAATGGTACCATTCGGCGACAGGGTCCGGGCATTGGTACATTCTGAACAGCCAAGTTTATGAGTCATTGAGATTCAGGACAGGGCCAAAGCATAAATAATTGCAGTAATCTCCAGATTCTTGTGAAAGTACTCCGTACAGACTGATAGCTGACAATTTTAATAGTTCTGCCGACATAGTTGAGGGCTAGCTGGTTTTTGTAAAAGCGTCTTTAACCTCTAACCTAGTTGTTGGGACAATAGCTCTACATGTTCCAGGCTACTAACACTGCATATTGATTGGTACCACTTACAAATTGCACAAACACCAAAGGTTACCCGTGGTTATCTTTGGGTGGTAGATTGTTAGCAGTTTTTTATTTTCATATTTTTCTAGCTTTTTCCAACGTATTATCCCATTTTCTTAAACTTCGAAATTATCATTTGATTTACCTTTTAGCTAATTATATAACTGGCTCACTGAAGATGTGTAACCGAAAGCTTGCTTGGTCCTTGTCCCCATGCCAATTCAATAATAAGAACACGGTAGATAACTCAAGGTGATCTTGTTCCCCACCTCCAGATTAGGGAGAGTGAGAGGGTGAAGAAGAAAAGGAAAATATGTCCCTCAGGGTTATATTCAAAAGGTGAAGTGGACCACTGTTAGAGACTCACTGCTTTCCAAAGTTTCCTCATTTCTGCCTTCAAGCTTTTATTTTACATATTTTGATTTTTCTGTGGTTTCCATCTAATGTATAATTAAGATTCTCTATTTAGCATTTACTCTAAAAGGAGGAAGTTCAGTCTTTCTCTAGTTTTTGTACCACTAGTAAATCAACTGGGATGATTTTGGGATTGACTAGATAATGAAGGAATATTTGGATAAAAGGGGGAGATATTTTCTAACTAGTATGGAAAAGAATAAAGAATTAAGGTCGTGGCGCATGCCTGTAATCCCAGTGGCTCCAGAGGCCAACCTATCCAGGTACTAAGCAACTCAGTGAGACCCTGTCTCTAAATAAAATACAAAATAGGGCTGGGGATGTGACTCAGTGGTTGAGTGCGCCTGAGTTCCATTCCTGGTACCAAAAAAAAAAAAAAAAAAAAAGGAATTAAGGCTAAACTTGGGAATAAACTGAAAAAAAAATATGAGCAATAACTAATGGAAATAATTACAGATTCTTAAGAGAAATGCTTGAATTGGCTACTACTGCTTTTGTAATTAATACTCTTTGGGATTAACAGTATCAAAAATTGGATAAATGGTTTTTATTGAACATTAAGCTCAGAAGCATTTTGTTTCCACAGTTCATTTTGTTCTTTTTCCCCCCCTCAGATATGAAGCCTCAACAAATGAATTGATTAATGAAGAATTGGGAATAGCCTATCCAATCATTGATGGGATTCCTAATATGATACCACAAGCAGCTAGGACGACACAGCAAAATAAGAAACAAGAAAAAACGGAGCAACACTAACTCATAATTTTTAAAAAACAATTAAATTTTCTTAATACTATATACCTTTTCAGACAAGGTGGCGGGTAGTAAGTGGGAAAGAAGAATGTTTCTGTCTCTGCCAACGTTTACTGTTCTGATTCCACTCATCTCTTTAGCAGGATTGTTCTACTCTGCCTCTGTGGAAGAAAACTTCCCACAGGGCTGTACCAGTACTGCTAGCCTTTGCTTTTATAGTTTGCTCTTGCCGATTACCATACCAGTGTATGTGTTTTTTCACCTTTGGACTTGGATGGGTATTAAACTATTTAGGCATAATTAGTGCAACCATAGCCAAGATGGTAAACCTATTGATGATAGGTCTTAGGTATGTATCTCTGAAAGCTCAATTAGATGCAAGTACTGGAGACCCATTTAGCTTACAGGAAAGTTGCTTTGCCTTGCTTCTCTTGGGCTTAGGACTGTGGGAGGTATAAGCTGCATAAGCTTCTTGGTACTTTTGTTCTGCCCTTGTTTTTTGAAGATTCTGACTTATAACTACTGAATCAGAAGAAACATTTCAATAACAGTTCTTGATGGAGATTAACACCCCTATTAATCTGAGGCCATTTCTTAGCTTATTAATATAAAAATTCAATCATATGGAATTTTATTTGTTTAACTTCAGCATCAGTGGTAAAGCCACAGCCATGTTAGAGATGACTCAGTTAATCCCAAAGAAGTTATGGAAGAGTTTTTAGAGAAATGCATTTGAACTAGTGTGATATAAAACTGTATAATAAAATGGAAATTTCATGTACTTAAAAAAAATTCTGAGTTCATAAAATTACCTTAATCTCTTTGGTTTCAAATATAATAAGAAGTTGACATAAAAAGTGGGTTTTGGTTTGGATTTCTTTTTTGTTTTGTTTTTGGTAATGAGTATGGTACTAAAGGAGGGAAATTGTGAAAATATTGTAAATTAAAAACTGTATGTAAATAGTAAAATATAAAAAAGAGCTGGGTGGCCCAGTGGTAGAGTGCCCCTGGGTTCAATCCCTGGTATAAAAAAAACAAAACAAAAAAAACGCTATGCTTAGAAAGGCACTTAAAATCTAAGGAGACTCATTTTCTCAGGAAAATGGGTACCTTTGGCAAGTAAGGCTAGGGATGGGAGGGAAGACTTGATATAGTTGATTGTGTCCTGTTGAATTTAACAGTGTGTTTTGAGACATACTTATTTTTTTCCTGCTTTAGTAAGTCTATTTGGCACAAAGGGCTTGAGCCGTGAGTTTTCTAGACTTTTGAACAGGACTGATTAAGAGCATGGTACAAAAACATTTCAGAAGCATAGCACAAATAATGTTCCAGTAGTTATCTTAAGAAACTTAATTGAGGGCTGGGGATGTGGCTCAAGTGGTAGCACGCTCGCCTGGCACCACATACAAACAAAGATGTTGTGTCCACCAAAAACTAAAAAATAAATACTAAAAAAATTCTTTCTCAAAAAAAAAATAATAAGTAAAAAGTGGCTGAATTTAAAAAAATAAAAGAAGAAAGAAACTTAATTGAATATAATTTTTTTTTTTTTTTTTACTGTGCTTAGAATTGAACCCAGGGCCTCTTGCATGCTAAGCAAACACTTTACCACTAAACTACAGTCCTAGCCTCAAATTTAACTGATTCTTCATTAGCATCTTAGAAAAATTGAACAGAAGATTTAGACAGTGATTTCCCCTTCCCCATCAAGAGAACATTAAAATATGTTAGATTGCTAAGCATAGTGGTGCATGCCTATAATTCCAGTAGTTCTGGAGGCTGAGGCAGGAGGATAAGCAAGTTCAAAGTCAGCCTCAGAAACTTAGCGAGACCCTGCCTCAAAATTTGAAAAAAGGGGCTGGGTATGTAGCTTCGTATTTGAGAGCACCGAGTTCAATCCCTGGTATCAAAAAACAAAAAACCCTAAGATATGTTTTCTATTGCATTAATTCAATGTATATGAATAGTACAAATCACTTTTTTTTTTTTTTAGTTGTAAATGGACACACACCTTTATTTTATTTTTTATGTGGTGCTGAGGGCCTCACATGTGCCAGGCAAGTGCTCTACCACTCAGCCCCAGCCCCAGATCACATTTATTTTTTTAAAATATTTTTTAGTTGATGGACCTTTATTTTTATGAGGTGCTAAAGATCAAACCCAGTGCCTCACACAAGCTAGCTAGACAAATGTTCTACCACTGAGCTATAACCCCAGCCCACAAGTCATTTTAAAATCACACAATATTTAAAGAACTTGGAAGACTAGAAGTTCCTAGTCATTTCCTAACAAATTATTTTATTAAATATCAAATTTAACCACCTTAGAACTCAGTATAAATGTTATACTGTTATAAAGTTAATATAACTAATGCTATAAATATGTACTTGCTTTCTTTTTCTCTAAGAGACCTCAAATTATATGAACAATTTTGCTAATAAACATTGTATCAATTTCTACTTTTTTGGAAGTTAAGCATTTTAACTGGGGAAACTGACATGATTCTCCTGAGGGAGTTCAGTATTTATCCATTGTCTCAGTAATAGAATCAAGTTAGCAGTCACTTGTACAAGCTCTGCTGGATACAGTTCTAGGCATATTATACTGTATGCTTTAATCTTATAACCTAAAGTGTAGGTAATATTAACATTTCTGTACAGAAGAGAAATGTGGAGTATAGATGACTTACCAAGATAAGAGCTTGCTACCATCTAGGAATCTGGCTTTACTATTAACTACTATGTAATGTGTATCTTCATTTTGAACGGACTTTTCTGTTGAGAAAAATAGGAACCGTATGCTTTGATTCTAATTCTTACTCAAAACTGGACCTTTATTATCTAAGTAGCAAATACTTCAGTTACAAGAAGTAAGTTCTGATGTTCGACAGCGCAATAGTGTGACTATAGTTCATAATAATTTGTTTTGTAAAAAAAACTAGGATGATGGCTGTGGCTGTGGCTCAGCAGTAGCATACTTGCCTGGCATGTGTGAGGCATTGGGTTTGATTCTCAGCACTACATATAAATAAAGGTCTATCAACAATTAAAAAAATATTAAAAACAACAACAAAAAATTAGGATAGGAATCTGAAGCTCCCTAACTGTTTGAGAAGGAAATGTTAATTACCCCATATAATCACACTGTACTTACGTGTTGAATTATACTTGTACCCCAAATATGTATAACGTGTCAAACACTACATGGTTTATTCTAGTTTTTTTGTACTGTGTCTATATTTTGTCTATCTGGACAGTAAACTTTTTTTTTTTTTTTCCCCATACTGGGGATTGAACCCAGGGGTGCTTTACCACTGAGCTACATCCCCAGACCTTTTTATTCTAGTTTGATTTTGGAACGGGATCTCACTAAGTTGCTAAGGCAAGCCTCAAATTTGGGGTCTTCCTACCTCAATCTCCTGAGTCACTCGGATCACAGGTGAGTGTCGCCATGTCTGGCCATACTTCTTCTTAACTGATTTGCAGAGAAACTGTAGAAAACAGTATGTATACAATTTTACTAAAGGCCTATAACATATAACACGATATTAATAGTCTATAGGAAGTAAATATGAGCAAAGTATATTTGGAGTAAGGAAATGACACCAGATGGTAATTTGAATTCATAGGAATACATGAAGAAAACCAGAAAACAACATAACTAATGCTATAAATATATACTTGCTTTCCTTTTCTCTAAGAGACATCAAATTATATGAAATAATTATAGTATTGTTGGGTTTATAACGTAGTATGGATAACAACAGTACAGAATGAGGGAAAAAAGAACATAGCATGTTTTTATATCCCACTTGCACTCTTAGGAATGGATTTGCAGTTTTAATAAACCTCAAACAGTCCTCATAGGCTGGTGAGAATATAAAACACTGCAACTTTTTAGGAAAATGGTTAGCTGCCTATACAAGGTTAAATATAGAGTCTGGGTCTGCAATTTCACTCCTTGGTGTTTACTCAAGAGAAATGAAACCTGTTTTCACACAAAAACTTATATGCAGATGTTCTCAACAGCATCATTCATATAGCCTTAAAATAGAAACAACCCAATGTCCATAAACTGATGAATGGATAGATGAAATGTGGTATGAAAACAATGAAGTGTTATTTGGCAATAAGGACTGAAGTGCTGGGCACCTTAGTGCATGCCTGTAATCCCAGTGGTTCAGGAGGGAGGAGCATGAGTTCAAAGCCAGCCTCAGCAAAAGCAAGGTAGGTGCTAAGCAACTCAGTGAGACCCTGTCTATATAAAAATACAAAATAGGATTGGGGATGTGGCTCAATGGTCAAGTACCCCATGAGTTGAGTCCCCAATACAAAAAAATAATAATTCTCATTATAACATGAATTTTTGAAAACATGTTAAGTAAAGCCAGTTATAAAAGATCACATATTATTTGATCATTTATATGAAATGTCCATAACAGGTGTTAAGGTTTAAATATTAAGTGTCTCCCAAAAGCTCATGTGTGAGACAATGCAAGAAAGCTTAGAGGTGAAATGATTGGGATGAGAGCCTTAACCTAATCAGTACATTAATCCCTGATGGGGATTAACTGAGTGTGACTATAGGCAGGTAGGGTGTAACTGGAGGAGGTGGGGCTTTGGGGGTATATTTTTGGGTTATATATTTTGTCCCTGGTGAGGTGTTCTCTTTCTCTGCTTCCTGGTAACGTCCTGAGCTGTTTTCCTTCAATGCACCTTTCCTTCATGATATCCTTCCTCACTTCAGGCCTTGAGGAATGGAGTTGGCCATTTATGAACTAAGGCTGTAGTAGGACAACCAAGGCTGGACACGGAGGAATAGCAGGAAGCAGGTTTATTGGCTACAACCAGGTTCAATGTGGGGGATTCTTGCCTCTATCAAATCACCCCTCTGAACCCCGAGTTCAGAAAGTTTTAGAACTTTATACCCAGTGTGTAAGTGGAGGGACTCAAAGGCTCACAATCTGTAGAAATTCACATAAAAGCAGTTTTTTCACTGTTCTGGGCACCCAATTTAAGCCAAGGACACTAGGAAATGGAGAGTCCCCTCCACTTTCTTCCCACCAGCTGGCTCTGAAGGACCTCACTATAGTCCTGTGAGATGCAAACACCTCTGTGTACCCTCCAGACCCAGGCTGGAGGCCTTGAGTCCCACTCTGTCTCTGCAAACACACCCTCCACTTGGAAACTCTTGTTATAAAAGTTCTTGCTGATAGTCTAAGAACAATTATGCTAAACAGAATGTTTGAGGATCTCTGGAGAAGCTTAGTTATAACAAGGGTCTTCTGGGTGGGGGTATCTGATATACTTCAAGACCTCTGAAACTGTGAGCTCCCAAATAAACTTTTCCTTCTCTATGTTGTTCTTGTCAGGTATTTTGGTCACAGCAGCGAAAAAGTTAACTAAAGAGGTAAATCTACAGAGACAGACAGTAGTTTAGTGATTATCTAGGGTGAGGGGAGGTTATGGAGTTAAACTCAGAGGTGTAGTAGGGCTTCTCTTTAGAGTAATGAAAAGGTTTAAAATTTGATCGTGGTGATGTTGCATAATTCTGTGTGTGTGTGTGTTTGTGTGTGTGTGTGTGTGTGTGTAGAGGGATTGAACCTAAGAGCACTTAACTACATAGTCACATCCCAAGACTTTTTTATTTTTATTTTGAGACAGGTTCTCACTAGGTTGCTTACAGTCTCATTAAGTTGCTGAAGCTTTCTTTGAACCTGCATGCTATCTTCCTGCCTCAGTCTCCCCCTCCCGATGTGCTGGATTACAGGCATGAGCCACCATGCCCAGCTAATGTTGCATAATGCCATGGATATACGAAAAACCACTGAGTTGCACACTTTACATGTCTGGATTACAGTAGCTTCTCTTGTAGGTACATTCCAATACCTCTCATGGATGCCTGAAACCACGAAGACTACTGAACTCTAGTATAGGGATAGTATACACTTACGTTTTTTTCCTATACACACATATGTATGAAAAAAATTGTTTATAAGTTAAGCTTAGTAAGAGATTAACCAAAATAATAAAATATACTATAATAAAAGTTAAGTGAATTTGTTCTCGCATGAAAGAGTCAAAACAAAGAATATTTTTGGATGGGGTCAATCACAAGTAACCAAAACCATGGCAAGTGAAACCAGGGATAAAGGGAGACTAATGTATGTAAATATTTGCTACAAGGATTATATATCAAAAACCCATTATTATTTTTCTTTTTGAGGGGTTTACCAGTACTGGGGATTGAACTCAAGGGCACTAGACCACTGAGGCACATCTCCAGCCCTATTTTGTATTTTATGTAGAAACAGGGTTGCACTGAGTTGCTTAGTGTCCTGCTTTTGCTGAGGCTGGCTTTGAACTTTCTATCCTCCTTCTTCAGCCTCCTGAACTGCTGGGATTACAGGCATGCACCATTGAATTCAATTCAATAAACCTATTATTTAAAAAATGCAATATCTAAGTCTCTGTTGTTTCAAGACATCTGCTAATTAGAGACATGTTCAAAAGTAATATGCCGTTTTTTTTAAGAGAGAATTTTTTAATATTTATTTTTCAGTTTTCGGTGGACATGACATCTTTTATTTTTTTTATGTGGTGCTGAGGATCGAACCCAGTGCCCCGTGCATGCCAGGCGAGCACGTTACTGAAAAACCAGCCTCTACCTCAGAGCAAAGCCTGTCCAAGGAAGGGACATGACCTTTGTCCTTGGAAAAACCCACAGAGCACTCCTAGGCACATTCCCACCCTGCTAAGTTGTTTATCTACAAATAACAGGAGTGATCTGCTGCACCAGGTGTCCCTGACTCAGTCAGGCTAGGTGGAGATCCATAGCAACCCCCTAGCAGCCACCAATCAGCATGAGACAGGGAAATACCTGGGATGCCAGATGACCCTCCCAGTAGTTTATGGTAGTTGATAACCTGTTGGGAAACCATGTAGTTCAGCACGTACACCCCTCTTGGCTTAAACCATCAGTTCAAACGAATACCCCTTTTGTACTGACCAATCACCCCTACCCAACTTGTTCCCGCCAGTGAATGTGCTAATCATGTTTTAGAGTTGTTATTTGATTTTCCCGCGGTGTGTGATGATTTGCTATGATGTATGTGAAGTCCCTGCCCTCTCCAAAGAGTGTATAAAACTGCTGTAAACCCTGGGCTCGGGGCCTCTCAGAGTCACCAGTTGCTGTGTGTGCGTGCGGAGGACCGAGCTAGCTCGCAATAAACACCTCTTTGCTGCTTACATCGATCTTGGGTCTCTGGTAGTCTTCGGGGGTCCCGAATTCGAGCATAACATTACTGCTTGAGCCACATTCCCAGCCCAATGCAGTTTTTGAACCTTCTAGATTTGTTTCCATTGTGCTACTTCTCGTGACCCTCTCAGATATGATATCCTTTCTTAGATTTTTTCAACTCGTTTCTAGAGTTCTAAACCAAGTTTCCTGGTGACAGACA